CTTAAAAGACAGCGTAATCCCCATAGTTACTGCATCAACTTGTATTTATGCTAGGAGGGCCAAAAGGTGAGGGTTTTTGAATGGGCCTAGCCCACCGATTTCGTTTAGCTTTGACTAGGCTAGGAAATAATAGTTACCACAAGATATCACGCACACATTGAGGAGCCAGCCCAAGTAGGTGGAACCCTTATTGGATTAATACTGTAGTTCTCTTATGTGACTGCCGTGAAACAGAAGTCTAATAAGTTTTAAGGAACATGGGTGAACTAACCGTCTCCAGAGCCATGGAAACGGCCTCATCCAATCCTCCGATTTTCCCATCCCCTCGAATATGCGTCCCCGGCGCCCAGAGTACACATTCCAGATGGAACCACACCTCCCCTTCTCGACCAATCCGATTGGATTCCAGATGAGACTCCGTTCCAGATGTTGCCGCCACTCCCTCCAGCGGCGCCGTTGACCCCGTCCCTCTCTTTCCCTTTCCCAGCCTCTTCTTCGTTTGCGGAGGAGGTGATGATTGCTGAACACTTCTAACCGAAATACTGCCACCAGCTGGGGGAGAAATAGCTTTAATTATAAGACGGAGCGATGGTGAAGGTGCAAAACGGTTCTGAGTGGAGGGAGAAAGGAAGTAAGGACCGTAGAGAGGCCCTAAACGCAGGAAAGACGGTGCTTCAGCGCAAAATACGCAGCGCCAGGAGGGACAGGCGGCTTCGCTATAGCCTTCTGGTAGGCGAGCGTCACGAGCACTTGCGCCTGGTCTCAACGAGGGCTTATAGTGCGAAGAGGCAAAAAAAGACTGCAGTTCGGGGGAGAAGGGAGAGGGCCTATCGACAATGAGTTCTCCACTGGAACCACCACCAAAAGACGTGACAGCATTTGCTGCCGCCGCTCTCAAAATGGGACAATCAACCTTTTCGTTGGTGGTAACCGCAGGATTGATTACGTGTGCAGGGTGGATCTGATGTTCGTCATTTGGAACTGTGGGCTGAGATGGTTCCATTGTTTTTGCAGATTGACAAAGGCAAAAATAAGGGGATTTGAGGTAACGACGTTGCATATTAATTTCAGTCACATTGACATTAGCACTGGCTTTGTTTACACCTATACTGGTACCCCGAACACCGTGTTTCCGCATTGCAGACTTTCTAAAGTGGAAATCGGAGAAAATGTACGAAATGAAACCTGAAAATAATGCAAATGCAACATTTTACAAGACGCATACTTCCGAACACTTTCCTCAGCCCGTTTCACAATAAGAGATCGTTTCCCTCCAGCTTCGAAATCGGAATCGCCAATTCGCGACCATTTTTTCTTTTGAGGTTTTCGTTTCTTAGCTGGAGTCTTTCGTGCTGGTTTCTTCACAATGGTCACGCTTGTTATTTCCACTGCCTCATTAGGAACGGCCACTGGAGAAGAAACTTGCTTTTGTCCATTGGAATCAACCTGTTCACTTGACTTGGGAGGAGATTGCATAGGCTGTTTTGTGGGAGAAGTTACACGAGGTAGAATAAAAGCAACCGGCATCTTCTCTAGGACTGGCAGCCCATTCGAACGTTGAGTAGGTTGTACTGGATCCGCTTTACCAACAAGGGATAAGTCCGAGCTTACAGCGTTCGAAGATGATGAGGAAGATGTGGAACTCGAGGAGGAATCACTGGAAGAGCACTTACGCTGTTCGTACGGTTTGGGAACCAAGATTGGAGCATTTTGGTAGGCTGAGAATGCAATATTAGGCGGATTATTGGATGTGTTGCTCAGACCATCTTCCTCCATTATCACAGGAGGAGCAGGAGAAGGCCGTGAAGATGTGTTGAAGACGGACGAATGGGCGGGAGATATGCTGGCAGGCGAGAGCGCCGGGGGCAGAGGGGAATTACTACCGTGATTTTGTTTAACGGATACATAAAGAGGATCGATGCGACTCTCCTCATTATTCCTGGTAAATTTGCTGGGAGGTTGAGCTACCGACGACGGTGCAATGTCGCGATAACTCGTGGGCGATCTTTGTATAAAAGACTGATTTACAACATCATTTTGAGGTTTAATATCAAGGTCTTTGCTTTTGCGTCCGACTAGTTCTTTGGAATCAATAAGACTACTTTGCAATACTGTGCGAACCCTATCCATTTTCCATGTGAAAATTTATTACAATGAAAATGCAAGAATTGAATTTGTGCACACCAACAAGAGGCTTTCGACCAATAGGAAATGAGTGTCAGGATCGAGCCGATTAAATCAAATTGCGCAATAAATCTTCAGCAATTTGATGTAAGAAAACATCGACAAGTAAGACATATAAGTTTTATTTTACTCGAAAAAATGGGGAAATCTTTTAATTATACGAAGATCACGCAAGAGAGATTTGTCTTTTGCGTGAATGCCGCTGGAACTCTTGTACAGCTTGATGAGGTGGGTCCCAAAGTAGGCGCAACCCTTTGTTTCCGCATAGCCTGGATGTATTTGCAAATAATGCGTGCACTACTAATAAATGATAATAATTCTACTTGGGTCCATAGACAAAAGTCAAGCTTCTTATCCACACCCCGAAATCTTAACTTGGCAACGTATTTAGTAAAATAGATTAAGCTAATGGACAAGTTAGAGCTCGCAGCATTTAGCGAACACTCATCTCATTAGAGGATATCGCAAGCAATAGATCGAAAAAAATCAGCAGCCGCACACTGCTTACGCAACTGACAAACTATTTAAATGAATGCGTTGGATTGTGAAGTCTGCTTTTAATTTAAGGTCGAACTTTAAAAAATAAACAAAACTCAAATATGGGTAAACTGTTTTATTGCTCAAAACAATTATATCACCTTTCGGAGTTGGCAGAACTTGAACTG